TCTTGGCATTTCTGGAAAGTGGCTGTTGAACTTCTGCTATGGCTTCTTCCTCCTCACCCAGCAGTCTTTGGAGCCTCGGGTGGTTCTTTTTCTTCTCCTGGGACCCTTCACCTCCTTACCTTAAAAAAAGAAAAAGAAATCCAGAATCTACTTGCTTTGGAAATGCAATAATATGTGTATTTAGCGCATCATCTTTCTGGGAAAGCATTAGAGTAAGCATAATTTAACTCTTCCTGAGTGACTGGGGAACAAGAAGTAATTGAAGAGGAGGAAAATTGTGTATGGTAGTTCTTTCCCTGCGTTGTCCTGATAGAAAGTGAAGTTCTAATTATTACATTTCTGCTTTAGACAGACGGTGTTTGAATTGAGTGACTCGAAGGAAGCTTCCCCATTTGAACAAAATTACTTGTTAAAGAGGCACCCCAAAATCTTCTCAGGTGGGTGTCAGGAGGAAAACCTGTCTTGGGGAAAATGATTGAATGTATGGGACCATCCACAAACCATAATGACAGAAAAAAAAAAAAACAATTGTTAGAGGGTTGGTGAAATAGCATACGGGAAGAGAACACTGATTCCAAGGAAGACTTTGTACTCTTGCTTCCCTGATGATGGTTCAGTCACCACAAGAAACCTTTCAGCAGCTCTCTGGAGTTGGAGTTGGTGTGGTTATTCAAGGTTACAAACCACACTTGAAGTGCCTTGGTTGAGATTTTCAAATTTTTGAAGCTGTTTGTGTGTTTGACACTCAGTGTTTTGAGCACTGCAAGGTACTGTAATTGATACAGAGGTATTTTTTAAATCAAACTTAGTTCCAAAGTGATTTTTAACATAGGTACAAAATATATACAGAACTTCCACAAATTCCATCAGTGTTGGCTAACTTAATTTAAAAGCAGTTTGTTCTGAGAAAACCTTCTGTTGTCTCAGGCATGGTGGTGCACTCTTGTAATTTGCAGTGCTTGCCTGCATTGCAAGAGTTATAGTAGGAGGGTCAAATTTAAGGCCAACCCAGGCTACCTAGTGAGACACTGTCAATAACAATAATAATAGAAAATTCCTGTTATAATATGTGTTGTGCACATGTTGCTTGCAGTTTAATTTGCACTCAGTCATACTTTAATGGTCTTAATCGTTCTTCAGTTTCATAGAGCATAAAGATTAGCATATTTGCTTTCAGGATTTTAGAAACAACTTTTTGTAATCAGTTGTGTATTGAATGCATGATTCTTTGTTGCTTCTATTTAGAACTCCAAATTTTCCATTCAGCTTAATGTCGCTGTGTACATTTCTGTGCCCAGAAGTAAATCTGGCACATTGTTCTGAATGTAGTAAGTATAAGTAGTACAGTCCAATTTCTAGGAGCTCAGAGTTCTTTTTAGTTTGTTTTTTTGGGTTTTTTAGTACAGTCCAATTTCTAGGAGCTCAGAGTTCTTTTTAGTTTGTTTTTTTTGGTTTTTTTTGTTGTTGTTGTTTTTCCGAGACAGGGTTTCTCTGTGTAGCTTTGGAGCCTATCCTGGCACTCGCTCTGGAGACCAGGCTGGCCTTGAACTCACAGAGATCAGCCTGCCTCTGCCTCCCGAGTGCTGGGTTTAAAGGCATGTGCCACCAAAGGCAAGCTCAGAGTTCTTATCAGAGCATCAGACCATCCCCTGAGATCAGGAGAGGTGCAAAGTACTTTCTTAAAATGCTTTAGCAAAGCACCTGTAGAGATGAGCCTGAGCTACAGGAGACTCTGTCTCCAAACAAAAACAAAGCAAAACAACAAAAAGGTTTGTGAGCTAGGCGTATAGCTAAGAATTAGTGCTTGCTTACCACGAGGTCCTGGCTTTGATCAGTACTTACAGAATGAAGTTGTAACTTACCTTGCTTTGATAAGACAACTTAATTTGTTTTTACTAATTTATCATATTCCCAAAAGAAATTCAAGGCAAGAAAAATGATGTTTTAGTGTGCTGTGTTTACAGAATTTGGTGATTTGTTTAATCTAACCCTCCCATCCTGCCTCCCTACTAGGGATTGAACCTAGGACCCAAGCAAGCTCTCTACCACTGAAACATATCCCCTTTAGTTTGGTTGTTTCATTTGATGGTTGTAACTGAGTTGGGCCACAACCCCACCCTCAGAAACTGGGGAATGAGTAAGAGAAGAGAGAAGGAATGCAAAGTAGAAGTTGTTGTTCAGTCTACCTGGGAAGACAGTTTAGCAAGTTCTAACACTGCAGTTATAAAGACAGTGGTAGATTCAAAGTACTAAGAAGGATGTGATCTGGGTGGGGAGATGAAGAAATGCATGGGTCTCATGAGAAAGATTATGCTCAAATTGAGGCTTGCAGAATGAGTTCTTTTTTTCTTTTTCTTTTTCTTTTTTTTAAGATTTATTTATTATGTGTACAGTGTTTTGCCTGCAGGCCAGAAGAGGGCACCAGATCTCATTACAGATGGTTGTGAGCCACCATGTCATTGCTGGGAATTGAACTCAGGAACTTTGGAAGAACAAGCAGTGCTCTTAACTACTGAACCATCTCTCCAGCCCGAATGAGTTCTTTCTATTAATGAGGGCAGGATGGATAAAAATGCTCAGGTCCTAAGATCTTTTCCATTACCTTGAAGTGGTAAGATAATTGAGAAAAGTCTTAATAACTCTGGTGTTTATTTGATAGTATTCATATACAGCGTTCTTTTAGTGGGAATCATGGTCTCACTTGGAAATACTGCCCTGAATAGGTGTGTCTACATTGTTCATAGGATTATGGTTGAAGCTGAAAGAAACCTCTTAGTCTTCCTTACTTATATGGGAGTCACAGTTTTGTTTGCTTGCTTTTGTTGTTTTGAGACAGGGTCTCTCTGTGTATCCCTGGCTCTCCTGGAACTCACTATGTAGACCAGGCTGGCCTTGAACTCACAGAGAGTCACTTGTCTCTGCCTCCCAAATGCTGAGATTAAAGGCAGCATGAACCACCACATCTGGCCATGAATCTTTATTTTGTGCATGTATGTATAACTTGTATCTTTTTTGCATGTTTCTTGATTTAAAATTTCAATTTCATATATGTAATATACTTTAGTATTTCCACCCCCTCCCGTTAGCTTCTTTTATCTCTTCCCAGTGAAACCTTTTTCCCCCCAACTACTTTCATGTCCTCCTTTTTCCCTTTTGTGGAAAATTTTAATTAAGGTGTCTGCAAGAGCATGGATGGGTGGTTATTTACTTGAGTAAAGGCTGCTAACCAGGGATTGTACCACTGACTTTCCCACCCCTAGCAACCATTCCAGTCGCTCATTGAGAGTGGGGTGAGCTTATGAGTCTCTTACAATCCATGATGGAATGTTAATGGGCCCAGTTTTATGCAGGTCTTGTGGCACTGCTTCTGTGAGTGATGGGTGCAGCAGCATGTCATGTACTGATGACTGTTTTACAGCATTCTTTTCCATATTCTGGCTGTAAGCATTGGGGCAACTCAGATTGAATGAGATGGACAGGGATTCTGGCACTCCAAGAGCCAAGGAGTACCACAGGTCACAGTAAGCTTAGCATCTTACAACCCTGCTCTGGGGGAAAGGCTTTCCCATTGTAACAGCTCTGCTCCAGCAGGGGAGGGCTTCCCTGACAAAGTTGTTACATTTGGTTCTGTTCCCCCAATGTAACTCCACTTCACCAGGGGAAGGTTTCCCCAGGCTAAAGTGTTATAGCCCTGCTCTGCTCTGCTCTGCTCTGCTCTGCTCTGGTTCCTGCGAAAAGTTATTTCTCTTCTTCATTCCGCCAAAGGAAGGTCTCACCCAAACCTCATTCGAGAGATTTATTGGGCAGGAAGAATCCAGTAGAGTGGCTGCCCTCTGCCAGGGGGGACAGGATAGCTGGGCAGCCTGCAGCCACCAGCTGAACAGACAGGGGGTTTACATAGGCATTCTTAGGGGCAGAGTTTTCCAGGGAGATTTCCAGAGTGGGGATTGGTCAGATTTCAGACCCTGAGCTAGATCTGCTCAGGGATTGGTTGGTTTTCTGCACAGGTTCAGGGTCAGATTTGGCTCTGGTTTCAGGGCAAAAGTATGTTCCATTCACTGGTCCTTTTTAGCCTTTTGGTTCTAATTTTAGGACCAGGGTGTATTTCTTTCACTGGCTCTGATTCTAGGAACAAAGTGTGTTTCTTTGGCACTGGTTTTAGGTTCAGGGTTCATTTCTTTGTTTCTTGTTGCAGGGCCAAAGTGTGTTTCTTTGGCTGCCCCCCTTTCCCTACACTGGCTTTTAAATTCTTTCAGCCTCTCTTCCTCAATATTACCTGAGCTGAGTTTTGGAGGGGTGTTAGTGGTGTCCTGTTTAAGGCCGAGCCCTCAGCGGTTAGTTTTTAGCACCTTGACTAGTCATAAGTCTCTCCATTAACTTACATCCTTTACAAATAGAAGCTTCCCTGACCTGCATTGAGATATCATTAATTCATATAAACATAAATATCTAGAAGGCAGTTCAATTCTCTGGTCCATTTAGCAAAAACAATAGTAATAGGTTATTTTCCTTGGGCCTATCATCCATTTACAGTACAAGTACAGTACAAGGCATGAATTTTTCTGTGGAGTGGGCCTCAAATCAAATTAGAAGCAGTTGGTTGTCCCTATAACATCTATGTGCTGGCTAATTTATGTCAACCTGACACAGGGTGGAGTCATCTGAGAGAAGGGAACCATAATTGAGAAAATGCCCCCTCAAGATCTGGCTGTAGGCAAGCCTGTAGAGCCTTTTCTTATTAATGATTAATTTGGAAGGGCATAGCCCATTGTGGGTAGAACCACCTTTGGGCTGGTGGCCCTGGGTTCTATAAGAAAGCAGACTGAGCAAGCCATGGGGAACGAGCCAGTAAGCAGCGTTCCTCCATGGCCTCTCTTCCTGCCTCAGGTTCCTGCCCTGTTTGAGTTCCTGTCTTGTCTTCTTTCAGTGATGAACAGTGATTTGGAAGCATGAACCAAATAAACTCTTTCCTCCCCAATTTGCTTTTGGTCTTGGTGTTTCATCACATCAATAGTAACCCTAATTAAGACAACAGCAATGCCACTGTTGCACCAGTGGGCACATCTAGCCAGAAGGTTGATATTATAGCTTACAGGATCTATAGCCAAGTAAGAGTATTGATGACTGTTCTCTTCTAATAACTTGCGTAATGCCTTCTGACATGGTGAAAGGTGCTCAGCAAGGAGGAAATTTCTAGCTCTGTTGTAGCTTGATTTCTGTATACCAGAAGTATTTGATGTCTGCAGCAGTTGTGTTTTTTGTTGTTGTTGTTGTTTTGGGTTTTTTTGGTTTTTCGAGACAGGGTTTCCCTTTGTAACTTTGGAGCCTATCCTGGCACTCGCTCTGGAGACAAGGCTGGCCTTGAACTCACAGAGATCCGCCTGCCTCTGCCTCCCGAGTGCTGGGATTAAAGGTGTGCGCCACCAACGCCTGGCAG